TTAGAAAATCATCCAACTTTTTTTAAACTCATTCAAATTACTGCAATTAACAACATCATCATTAAAATTATTCCAAATATTAATAGTTCTATTAACAAAATAATTTTTTCTTAAGTTCGTATGGAATGTCAGTGCTGTTAGCCTCATCTCATGTCCTCTTGTTCGTCTGGTGGCTCTCAATATTTCCGGCAAGCTTCGTTGGTCCTTTTCATTCAACATGTTAAACGTCGTTATCAAATCATTTCTTATTCGTCTGTATTTTAGTGTTGGCAATTGTAAAAATCTTAATCGGTCCTCATATTTCATTCCCTCACAGTCCTTGATCATCTTTGTTGCCCTTTTCTGAACCTTTTCGATTGCTTCTGTTTCAAGAATTGTCCATGGTGACCACACACTTGCTGCGTACTCCAGCTGAGATCTAACTAAGGATTTATATAAAAACATAAAAACATTTTTATCAATATCTTCAAAATTTCTGTTTATTAAACCCAACTATGAAAATGCCTTCTTAACACTGCAATGTATATGCTCAATAAAATTCAAAGATCTTATTGATCTTTGAAATTTCAAAGATCTTTCAAGTCTTTAATTTTATCAACAAAAAGTAATGGGTGCGAGCTTATTTTATAATCATAATTATTATCTGATACAGAGCAACCAAACTTCATCACAACACATTTTTCTTTATTAAATTTCACATCATTCTGCACACACCACTCATCCAAATCATTCAAACTCCTCTGCAATACCACACTATCCCTATCTGAGTTCATAATTTTAAACAACTTTGCATCATCTGCATACATATACATCGCAACCCCATTTACATCCTGAAACAAATCAAATAAATCATCAACATACATTAAAAACAAAATTGGCCCAAGCACACTACCCTGTGGAACTCCACTCTTTACCTCACAATATCCTGACATACCATCATTCACTCTCACACGAAATGTTCTTCCATTCAAATAATTATAAACCCAAGCAACCAATTTGTCATTCAACCCACATTTGTTCAACTTAACCATTAATTTACTATGTGACACTCTATAAAATGCCTTTTAAAAATCAGTATATACTGCATTAATCCTATAACCTTTATCCACAGCCCTAGACCATTCATCCATCAATTTTAACAATGCAGGACAGCTGATTTCTCCTTGACAAACCCAAACTGTTTTGTATTCAGTAAACCACTTTCAATTAAAGGTGACATCAAAGCATCCTTTATTATAGACTCCATCAATTTACATGTCATGCATGTCAGTGCAACAGGTCTATCATTTTTAGCTTCCTTTTTATCTTCTTTTTTAAAAATGGCTGTAACAATACTCTCTTTCCATACATTAGGTATGATTTTCCATTCAAAAGACCTAATAAATAGGTATATTGTTTGGGGGTTTTTTTGTCCGGGGGGTAATTGTCCGGGAGATAATTGTCCGGGGGGTTTTTTGTCCGGGGAGTTATTTGCGTGGGGGGTATTTGTCCGGGGGGTAATTGTCCTAGAACCGTTTTTGGCACATGCTGTATCACTTTAACAACCCTATAATCCATTCCAATAAACCTCTCAGATAATATTAATACACAAAGAACATAATAAAGTTATTATGATTTTTATTAATTTTTATTGTAACAAATTTTTTATGTAAAAATGAAATTTCATTTTTGTATATATGAATATTTTAAAAATAAAATAGTATCGTTGGATTTTTTTCTGGAAGACTTTTTTTCCTGAAGACGTTTTTTCTGGAAGACTTTTTTTCTTGAAGACTTTTTTTCTTGAAAGCATTTTTTCTGGAAGACCTTTTTGAATGAAGATATTTTTACTGAAGATATTTTTTCTGAAGACATTTTTTCCTGAATGCTTTTTTTCTGGTTACCCGCGTTTTTCACAATAATTGTGTACACAGCTACAAAAATTTGAACGCAGTTAATTATGTTAATAATTATGTTAACTGTTCACCAATTATGACACAACAAACTCAAACATAACGGCAACAATGAAAAGCGTAAAACTAAATAATTTTTAGCGATCAAATAAAAATTACTTTATTAGTCCCTGTTATTTTACAAAAGTTTTTGTTAATGAGTTTGATGAGCTTGTATTATGATTTATTTGATTACTAAACGTTAGTTATTAATCTAAAGATAAAGGTACAACTTATAAATAAAGTAAAGGTACGTAGTATATGTGGGCGATAATATTTTCTTTCCAATATATGTAATTTTAATTATGTGGATGCGGTTCGATCATCGAATTAGATAGACCCTTTTTTAAATTCGCCATCTTGTCTTGTCTTGTTAAGGCCATATTTGTAGTTTCATAAAAAGAGCTAAAATGAGGGATGGTAGAAAAAGATTAAGTGGGAGTCTATATGCAAAATTGCGAAAAGACAAAGAATTGAAAAACAATACGGACTTGGATAGAACGAAGAAAATTAACAAGTTTTTTCAGTCGGCGGTCAGTGGAATTGGAGATCAATTGGAAGAACGAAATGATACTGAAGATAAGTTAGTCGATGCGTTTTTCATTAGTGCAAGACATTTCTTTGCTAAATTTGATTCTTTTATGGCGCATCATATAGAAAGATTTGGCAAATGTGGCAAAGGTAATACATCTTATCTGTCATCAACAACTGTAGAAGAGTTAGCAGCAATATTGGCAAATGCTGTACAAGACGAACTCGTCTACCAAATAAAAATTAGCAAATATTTTTCAATAATTGTTGATTCAACGCCTGACATAGCAAAAGTTGATCAACTTTCCGTTGTAATCAGATATGTTCAAAAAAGCGGAACGCCTTACGAAGCGTTTGTAGCGTTTCTACCAAACACTGGCCACAAATCGCAAGAACTATTTAACGCTGTAATTTGTTTTTTACAATCATACAACCTGGATCTTCAAAACTGTCGCGGACAATCTTACGACAACGCTTCAAACATGGCTGGCAAGTATTCAGGACTTCAGGGGCGAATCAAGAAAGTCAATCATCAAGTTTTATTTATACCATGCTCAGCTCACTCACTTAACCATGTTGGCACAAATGCAGCTAAATCCAGTGCAGAAGCTTGCAATTTTTTTTGGTTGATCCAACATGTTTACAACTTTTTCAGTGCTTCTACTGCCAGGTGGAAAGTTCTCCAAAACCACACACAGCAGAAATCTAATTCACTTAATTTGAAAAGTCTCTCCACTACCCGGTGGTCTGCTCGCGACGACGCAGTTGGAGCATTAAAACATGGGTGGAATCAGGTTATTGAATCACTACAATTTTTAAAAAAGGATTCAAACCAGAAACTCGTGCTTAGGCTAGAGAAATTACTTCTAATTTGAGTTTTCTTGAAACCGGACTTATGGTAGAATTGTGGGGTTTTGTTTTAGAATGTCTGAACAAGTCTAACGTCGAACTTCAAAAAGTAGACCTGCAGCGGATGGATTAAGATCTTTATTTCCAAACAATCTAGACGACACCTTAAATACTGAACTGTTGCATTTAAAGTCTCATTTGGCTACCTTAGACCGAAATGCAGTTTCACACACTCCAATTGATTTGTGTAAATGGATAAGATTGAATGACTTGCAGTGTGTATATTCAAATGTAGACATTGCACTTCGGATGTACACTTGTACTCCTGCTACAAACTGTTCGGCCGAGCGATCTTTTTCTTGTTTAAAGCGCGTTAAAAACTATTTGCGTTCGACAATGTCCGAAGAAAAGTTAAATTATCTTGCAATTCTATGCATTGAAAAAACAATTTTGCAAGATTTAGACATTAATTTCGTTATTGATGAAGTTGCGCGCATGAAGGCACGTCGTAAAGTTTTGAAATAACTATTATAAACTGCAATGAAAGAAAATTTATTTTTTAAAATTGATAATATTACCTTACGTGAATATTACTAAAGAATGTACTTAATAAAAATGTTTTAAAAATATTGCGTTTATATGAATTTAATTTCTAAATTTATTATAAAATTTAAAATTGGGGCGGCAAACCACGAGTGCCTCTAGGCGGCAAAAAGGTTAATCCGCCACTGATAAATAGATTCTTTTCATTCAAACAATATCTTTGCACTAATGTTACCTGGTCCAGACGATTTACATACATTCAACAATTTCAGTTTATTGAAAACAACCTGTGGTTCAAAATCAATCACATTCATTAAATTAATTGTTTCTTCACACAAAACAGTTTCCTGTGTGCAATCATTATCCCCCTTACTAGTACTATAAAAGTGGTAAAAATTCAGCCAAAACATTTGCTTTTTCAAATTCATTTCTTACAACAATCTTATTTCCCTCTTTATCAACCATACAAACTATCTATAGAAAACCTTTCCTTTCTAGTATTATTTACCTGTTTCCAAAATATCTTAGGATTAATTTTAACTAATTTACCCAAACCATTTAAATAATTAATCTTTATTAACTTGATGTCTCTTTTAACTTTGTTTCTCACCTTCTTAAAATCATCAAATATCTTATTATACCTTTACTTAATGAACTTTTTCCATAATAAATTTTTTTCTCTTATTGAATTTTAAAAAAAATTTGGTAGTTTAAGAAAATTTTTTTTTCATTTTCATTTATATACTTTACTGGTACAAATTTATTAATAGCACCTTCAATAACAGAAACAAACCTATTCCAAATCCCATTAATTATTGATTGTTTGCTATTGTCACCAACATTTATCAATGCAGGAGATAAATTTGCTTTAATAAATTGATTAATTGGCACATAATTCCCTTTATTGAAATCAAAACGCTTAATTGACTGTTTATTTTTTTCCATCTAACTAAACAGGAGAAGCTTATCATTATGTGATCACTTTTACCTATTGGAGGATTACATTTAATGTCATGAACTATATTTATTTACTGAACAAAAAGCAGATCCAATATGTTTTGCTTCTGCTGGTTTCTGAACCTGGTAGGAAAATCAATACATTGAAACAAAAAACAGTGATTTATACAATCAATGAATTTCCTCTAACTAAAAGGACTTGACCCCTCCAGAAGTTGAAACAGAATTCCAGTCTATAGATGAGACATTGAAGTCACCTAAAATTAATTTTTTACCTCCTTTGCCTATAAATGGAGGTAAGAAATATTCTAGATTTAATTTAAAAATTTATCAATATCTAAATGGTCCTAAAAATAAAAATAAGTCTTACATTTATCTGAAAACATTGAAACTTTTGTATAAGTTATAAATTAATAAATGCCCATACCTATTTATATTTTTTTAAAAAGGGTTAAATAAAAAAGAAATTATGATTAAAAAATCACAAGAAATGCTGGAAATTGTTTAATGTTGGTGTGAAGAATGTTCAATTAATAGGTGAAGTTGACCAGATGTACCGATATGATAACATGACTCTCAGTAAAAACGTTTTAAAATTAATAACAACAGATTTCAATTAAGAAATATTTAAATGTTTAAAAATTAACGAAAAATTATTATAAAAGAAAGATTTAGAAAAGCAAAAAAGTCATTAAAAACCAGATGTTTAATAGAAATTCAAATAAAAAATAAATATATTAAAAAGTCATTCTCTGTAAGTGAAAATATAATTTTTTAAATAAGTAAAAAATTTCACTGGCTCTAAGGCCTGAAGTGAATTAGCTTATGATATTTTGAACGAATTTTCAACTGACTATTGTTTTTGGCCAAATGAAAAGAACGAACATCTATATACATTTTTGTTATCAATCTCAATAAAGAAAAAAAAGATTATTTATGTTATCTGCACTTTCAATGATATGATCTTTAAGGTTTAATAGATATTTATTCGCCAACTCACTGAAAACACTTGATAAACAATTGTTCTATTCATTTTAGACCAGTCTGTCGCCATTTTCAAGTGTCTTTCAATGACACGGCAAATCTGATTGACAAATATGAATTAGTCAAAAAATATATATTAGGTAATATGTTATATAAAATGAAGAAATTAAATTAAAGATTAAATTAAAGAAATTAAAGATCTATATTTTTCCAGCATGCAAATAAAAATAAACCTGAAAAAATTTATTTTCTGACCTGAACAACATGAACAACACCACAGGATGGGAAAACTAGACCACCATTGTGTTTTAGTATCAGAAGCTGTTGGCGTAACTTGTCCTTTCATATCAAAGAGTGCTAATCTATACTTGTTACAATCTATTGTTTTGGTAACTTTTCTAACAACCCATCCAGCAATATACACTACTGCACTGTCCATGACAGTGTACATGGTATTAGATGGATTTTCAATGACAGTGAACATGGTATCTGATGCATTGTCAACGAGAGTGGACATGGTATTAAATGTCACGATTTGTGGATCTAAAGACGTCTCTTCAAAAATATCTTAAAACTGATCCTCTGGAATTTAAAATTCTGATTCAACTATAATTTGTTCCTGTACATTCCCTTAAAAATTATAAAACAACATATGTATAGCCTCTTTTAAAGCAACTGTATAAATAGAACATATTTGAATAATCTGTTTTTCCAGGGACAATACCACATCTATAATATACTTTTTTGCATATAGATTCCAGTTGCTGGACATTTGGATTATCATTGCTTCTCCCTATAATATATAAAATTAAAGTCACTTTTGTCAAATAATCACTTTTGTTCATTTTCTAACCTACACTTTGAATGAAATTGAAAAATAACTCAAGATGGTCTTGGCTGAATTTGTATGTCAGAACATATTTTTGAGTTTGAAGCAATGATGTGGCTAAATTTATTATGGTTTCTATGTTTACAACCATCCCAAGAACACATATATTCTTTGAGTTTAAAAGATATAACAATTAGTAAGTATATTTTCATCAAACGTTGTAAGATATATATTTACCTATTGGTTTGATATAAAAATTTTCCTTCGACAGTTTTTAATGATAACAAATTCTCTTTCAGTGACATTAAGTTTGATGCTATGTCATTAAATGATGTCATTGATAAACCACGTCTGAAATATTTACAGTAAATGTTCTTACTATTCATTATGTCAAACAATGTATCCATTTTTTCCAGGAATTGCACAGTTGCTTCACAATCTCTAAATTCTTCACAGTTACATCGAAGGCTTTAGCCATAGAACTACTCAATGTGTGAGCCGCTAATTTAACCTGAAGTTATGTAAGTCATTTTTATAATTATAAAATCTATTTGTTTGGTGATTTATTTTTTAATACATGTACGTACATACTCAAAAAATATTGTTGAATATGTACAGAAAGTATAAATTATACTAAATGGTACCTTCATTTTTTGATTATTATAATTAACATGTTGGTCAGTTAATTTGTTTGCCAATTTGAAGCCAGTCGTGTACTGTGCAAATTGTAATTTGCATATGTATTCCCATTTAGTTAAACCACCATTTGATTCTAAAATTTTTTTTATCAGCCCATATGTTATGGACAAGTTTCAACATGTGACAGGCATCAAATATTACATAAATTTCTCTATTAGTTGATGGTAATTTAAAAGATGGTTTGACAAAGGTAGGCAAATCAAAGACACACCCAAGTTTTATGCACATAACAAGGTTTGTTCGTAGCCATCCATCACCAGCGTCACTACCTGAATTTGTACAATAAAAATATTCAAGTAACATTGATAAAATAACTTTTAAAAATCTAAAAAACAAAACAGAAATTGTAAAAAGTTTTAACAAAAATTATACTTTCAATCCAATCTCTTCTAAAGCCTCGAGTGCATTCAATACAAGAACTTGTTGCGTAGTTGCTGACATGCTTTTGAACAGAAAGCAAGCAAGGGGATACTTCCATGAACCTGACGTACCAACTATCCTACCAACAACTTACGTACTACACATCCAATTCATTGGATGTGTAGTAACTAAAATAAAAAAATAAATTGTGTGTAATTGTGTGTAAAAAAAAATTGGATGTGTGAAACTAAAATAAAAAATAAATATTAACTGTAGCGCATGCAACAGTAATATATCAATCTAAGTAAATTTTATATTTAAACAAACATTTTGGTTCATCAGTTGAGTTTGTCTCCATCATTAATGGTGATTGCATTTCAGATAGAGTATCTGCTTATCATTTGATAAAAGCTGAAAATGATAAATATTCAATATACTTGATTATGTGATATGAAGGAACAAATATATAATTAATATACTAACTATAATGTGTTAGTGTCATGCAATTAATTAATTCATTAGTGATTCATTTTTTATGATGCATTGATAATTAGTTATTTTTTAAATTTAATCTTAATGTTAGTTTAATTTTTTCAAACTTTTTGAATTAGAAATTTTTCATTAGTTACAGAAAGAAGAAAACGTTTGGAAGTACTGTAGGAACTGAAGTTTTTGTAAGCAGCATTTTAGAATCTACTTTGTAAAAGCATTCTTGTAAAAAATGCGTGCTGCAGATAAAGATATTTTTTACTACAATAATGTGTAATATGATTTTTTTATATTCACTTGCCACTGTATTCTTTGACTCTCATTTTTTGGTAGTCTGTTCGGTTTTATTATTGAGAAAAAAGCTTAACTATTTTAAATTAAAATTTTATTATTATTATACACACATAACTATGTAAAGTTACGCCAATATCTTTATAAGACCGATGACATTGAGATATTGAGCACATGGGCATGGTTATACTTAATGTATATAAAATAATTAAATAAATAAGAAAAAAATTATTTAAATGTTATGTTATAAAAAACGAAAATTTCGTATAGACGATTAAGTTTAAAAAAGTAAAACATGAAATGTCAACTACAACGAAGAAATGTTTACGCTCCAAAATTATGTTCTCTTTATTCCACAGAACTAAAAAATTATTTGCCAGGAAATAATTCTTGTGCCATATCCACAATATCCATGGGTATGTCTCCTGCAAAAACTGACTCGCACTTCCTCGTAGTGCAGGAGTGAACATCTTTTTTGAAGACTGAGATGGCGAAAGCGAGCGGTGTTTTTAATGAATAACATTTTATGGGGTAAGTAGAGCAGTGTTGCATGAAATACATTCAGTTTCAAGATGTATAAGTGACGCGTTACGTATTTTTGAAATGGTGATTTTTGGCGATTTTTTAACTATCTCGTTACCGGTGACGCAAATTTAGAAATGTGTGGGTGACGCGTTCAATCCAATATTTGGGGGTGTGCACGAAACGGGAAAAAGTTTTGTTTTATATGATATTTTAGAGGATGAAATTGTCTATTAGAATATACAAGTGTTTTTGAAATGCACATATAAATGGATTCTTAGCGATTTTTTTAACTTTCTCGTTACCGTTGATATATTAAAATATAACGATTTGATGATTGAGTTTTTTTTTACAATTTTTAATCTGAATACAGTTAAAATGTTATAAATAACAAGTAAGAAACAATAATAAATATTTTTTCATTTCATAAAACTTTTAAATATTTTTTATTTAATCGGTTTTTTCATAATCAGCCTTTTACATATGCTTCACCGTCGCTGGGTTCGAACCGTCGCGAGCATTACCTTCGTTAAAGTCTAATCTAAAGGTTTACAATGAAGTTTGCAAACTTTTTAAAATGTGTACTATACTATAGTTTTGTTCAAATGTAATTGTAAATTAAATGTTTTTATAAAATAATAAATAACTATAACTTTATATTTATAATGATATTTTGTAATAATTGTGAGTTGGATAATGTCAGGTTTAGGTTGGGGTAGGGAACTTTTGTTGACTTTAGAATTTAGTGATCTCTCCTGGTTGTTAAACTGTTAACTGTGTGTAGATGTAAGTAAAGAGATGCTTACAGAACAATGAATGGTTCATGCATATAACTAGAATAAATTTGCTCACTTTTACTTTTAGGAGCTTACTTTCGGAGGAAAGTTGGAGGGTGATTTTTTATCGTTTGAGTCAAAAGTTACAATCGTATATTTACTAATTACAGAATATTGCTTTTGTTTAATTTTAAAATGTTAAAATTTTAATTTTTTTCAAATTGTTGTTCATTATGGTAATTAATTACTTTTATTTTCTATATTGACAAAAAAATAAAATTGACATTACCTAAAATTATTAAAAGTTGAAAAAATTGAGGTTCTTTGCATGTCCCAGCTTCAAACCATTAATGTTGTACATATATTGGTAAATAGGCCTCCCCTTGGGTTCATGCATACCTTCCCTAACAGGAATGCACCAAAGTTAGGCCCCGGCCAAAAACCGGCTTTTTTTTCAGGGCCGGATTTAAGTGTCTATCAACATTTAAAAATGTTATAAATAGAAAAAAAAATTTCATTGAATTCAATTAATTCATCTGAAAAGCTGTGGAAGCTGAAAAGCAATGTTCATCGAAAAAATTTTAACAGATTGTCGCCACACAGTTAGACCACCAATCTCAAGCCAGTACAGATTGGAGTACATACAAAACCGTTTTGATAAACGCTGCAACTACAGTTTGTGGGAAAACTGGTGCAAAACGTCAGCATGAATGGGACACTTGGTGGTGGCATGACAGTGTACAAAATGCAATAGCTGAAAAGAAACTTGCATACAAGCAATGGCAAAAATCAATGTCTGTTGATGACCATAATCTTTTCCATGAGAACAACTATGCAAGACGTCAAGTTGCTCTGGCTCGGACAGATCATGCAGAGAGTGGCTTTGTCGTTTTTGAATAGCCTTCGGTGTTGTTGCTTAACAGCGAAGAAATCAATTTGCGTAGCTGATGGTCCACTTTTGTATGTTATGAGATGTACCAATCTCTTGCCATCTTCATTCCGTTCTCCATAGCCAAAACCGCCATGTACGTACCATCTGTTTTCTCTCCAACGTGGCCATTGAGATCGCCCCCAATCAGGATTGTTTCAGATTTTGGTATTATTGAGATGGTGTCAGAGAATGCAGCCCAGAAGTCATTTTTCATCAATTCTGATTCGCCTGTCTGTGGTCCGTACTGCGTATGCAAAAAAAATAATCATTGTTTGCTTTTCTATGCGAAGCTTGATCCACATGAGACGTGAATTAATCCTTTTAATATCCAGTACTTCTTGGGCTAGCGGTTCTCTGACAAAAATTCCAACACCATTTTTGGCCATCTTTTGACCATTCCAGAATAGTTTATATTTTTCTTTGTCTGAGTTGACATGACAGACACCATTCGATTTCCATCGGGTTTCCTGAAGGCAGCAGATGTCAATCCTATTTATTTATATGACAGTGGTAAAAACAAAGTTTTATTATAGTTTAGGATTGAAATTAATTCTCACATTTTTTTTTACTAGCAATTTCTCGTTCTCAAAATAATTTTTTTGTCTAAGTTAATTATTACTTTATTCATTCTTTTTTTTAAGATATTACTTTTGCTAAATCATATTAGTTTATTGTTTTCATCACTTTCCTCTTACAGGTCCTTGTTTGTTTGTTTATTTATTTATTTTAATAAATTTTAACAAAAATTTTATGATTCAGTCATTAAATGCTACATTGAATTATTTTTTGCAGATCTTGATAAAATTTGGATTGTGATTTTTGTCAGAATTGTAAACTATGGGTAAGTACATAACGCAAGAAACATTTGATAATGTAGTGTGGGAAAACATTAAAGAATTTGAAATGAGTTCCAAAGAAGCAGTAAAAGATGCTGTCGAACAATTTTTAGCTCAAGTCAGTGTTTTTTAACATAACATAATGATAACTTAACATATGGCTTTGTACATAATATTTAAGAAATGTTAAAGTTTTCAAAACTAAAAATAAATGATTGTCATCAAATCATTTATTACATTCATGATTGTACAGATCAAATACAATTTTAAATCTTCTGACAACTTCAAGCAATTTACAAAGCCGGTAGACTTTTATACACTCTTCCAATGTTCAAAGAAATCAACTTACAACAAGCTTATATGAATACATGCTAATCGATGCATCATATGCAACGCATGCTATAGGCGGTGATTCTTTCACCGTATTTGAACCCAGTCACTGCATGCTGCCCAAAGTTACTTAATTTTTTTTAGATACTCATGTTTTTTAATGGGATTATTATTTGAGAATTTTTACTTTTTCAGTGTACTCAAATTAAAGCTAACTTGGCTTAGATGCTACATTATGTGTTATGCTATGTTTGTTTAGCCTAACCTCTTCGCATTTTTAAATTATTTGGTTCAAATTTCAGAAATTTATATACCTTTTCCAATGGTGTAGTATTTAATCTAAATTAAGTTAAAAATTCCATTAACCAACTTGTGAATGTAATTAGTGAGTTAAACTATTCAATAAATATGTATGAAAATTAACAGTAATTGTTTTATTAAACAAAGTGATTAATTACTTAACAAATTTTTGTGACAGGGTGTTGACTTGAGCAAAGTATTGAAAGATGCTAAATACTATGAAAACCAAAATGATGATTCAATAAAGATGGAAGTTCAGACCATTATGGATACCCTTAAAAATGCAAATCAAAATTTTAATGATGCATCATTAACAAAAACATTATGCAACTTTAAAAATATTTGTGACACTGGTTTACCAGAAAGATGTTTATTTTCAGAACTTGGTGCCTGTAAAATACTAATGCAGCTGATAAGTTTTGCAAGTAAACAAGTTCTGCTGGATGCATTACTAGAAACCTTTGCAGCATATGTCAATCAGCAGCCAGATGTTGTGGATGAAGATGATATAAAGGTGTTCATATCCCTCTTTCAAGGATCATGCCAAAATATCGTAGATAGTGTTTCGTGTTCTGAAGTGTTTAAAAATGTCTTGGTTAGATGTAACAGGCTGACTGACATTTTCACAAAATTTATGTATATACATGAAAAGAATAAATGTTTTCTCATGTCACAAAATTTGCATTCCATCTTACTGCAACTTCTAAATTTTTTGAACAGGTTTTTGATTTGAATTTATATGCCTATTTTCTGTTTTGTCTAAGCTAACGTTTTACAGCTGTTATAAAAGACCTTATTATTACAGTTGGGAAATAATTTCTTTGTTCCTGGATGAAACTTGCAATTTGGTAACACACGTTTGCAGGGTGCTATGTGCTCTTGTGCGAGATGATGATGTCCGCGTTCCATTTGGCCAATCTTATCAACATGCCTTAAGTATTTGCAAAGACTGTCTGGCTATTCAAATTCTTCTTAATTCATTACAGAGTTTGTAGTTGACTATAATTTATACGTTTTCTTTAGCTAAAAAAGTGTAAAATTATTCATTAATCCCAGCATGGAAGAGTGATGAAAAAGTTTGCAGTGAGATATTTGTGTGTCTGAGCACCTTGTGTGTCTGTGAAGATATATGTATGCAAGTATCTGAAGCAAATGGAATTATTCTTGTTTTTGACGTATTTGTCAATAGACTGAACACAAACAAAAAATCGCACCTCATCAAGTCTGGTTTGCAGGTTAACATTTAACTTTTTCTTCCAATTTTTAAATAAGTATAAAATGATGCCAAACATTATAAAAATGTGTTTACGTTAAAAATTGTATTTCGAGCAAATTCGGTCAAATCAAAGCACTTTTACATCTTCTATATTAGTTAAAGTGATTGATTTCAATATATCTTTATGATTCTATTGTACTTCAGGTTGTGTTGATGAATTAATTGAGGAAAATACAAATTAACAATAAATAGCGCCTCTGACACTACGCATAAGGTGCCGAACAAATGACATTATTATTTTTATTACTATTATTATTATTACTACTTCCTGAGTGAGAAAATCATAAACTGTTTTATAAAAATTTAAGTTTGATGAAATAACTTCAAAAGCACCATAATATTAATACAATAAAACATTATCAGAATGTTAAGAAATACAGAATCAAAAAACGAACAAATTTCACCCTATTTATTTTGAAATTTATGGTTATTTTTAAACAATGTTTGCATAAATAATACGACTAAACTTTTAAAAATTATTTTTTTTTGTACATTTAATACAAAGGTTAAACCAAATAGGTGTATTGTAAAAATATCAACAAATGTTAATCATTATTTTAAAATTAGTTGAAAATTTGAACACAATTTTAAAACAAAATGTAAAACACTTTTTAATGATATAAAAATTAAATAATATTTGCAAAATATACGGCATAAATTTAGAAAAATTTATCTAATGACCAAACTTTTTCACTAAAATTACATGATGTCAGTTTTTTAAAAACAAAATCATGTGTCATAAACATATTAACTTTGGCCTAAAATCAATGAAATAAGCGTTACTTTTTCTAAATTTGAAATTAAATAAATGATAAGCCGAAATTAATTTATAGATTAATTGATTTGCCTGTTATCAAATATATCAACTCATTTTAAACAATCAACAATGAATTATAAAAACAAAGAAAACAAATTTTTTAAAAACCAATCTCTTATATGTAACTAATTATTTATAACCATTTTAAAGAACGTCTAAAACTGTGAGACGGCTGTGCAAATAAAAAAACGACCTCGCACTTTTTAATATATATTTATTTATTTACATAATTAATTAAATAAAATATTTCGACCTGAAATATGATTTGAATCAATTAATCCATGCATTGTCATTGAAAATGAGCAAGTATATAAAATTTTAGCTCAATCGGACAATGAAACGTCGATAATCAAAATATCGATGACGAGTTTGCAAACAAACAAATATAATCATGAAGTTAATATATGCCTGATAATAATGTTGAACAGTATTATACGTGGTTTTATTAATGCAGTAAAACGCTAACAATTGATAACATACAGATTTCTTTACTTTGAGGTGTTTTTTATCCTTCCATTCAAGTTAAATTTTGTTTTCCTTTATCAATTAATAAAATAACATACAATTTACAGCTTTTAAAATGCTTGTGCGGTAGCGACAAAATAAAGCGTCAAATTATGGAATATGATGGAGGTGCTCAAATGGTTGTGGAACTGATGGAACAAAATATATCGAACCCGGACATTTGTGAAATAGCTTGCTTATTAATAGCAAGTCTCGCGTTAAGACATGCTGAACATGGACGCAAAATGGTTCAAGAATGCAATGCTCAGCATGTTATATGTAAAGCAATGGTAAAACATTTGCAGGCAGCTCCTGTTCAGGTTAAATATTTGTTTCTTTTATTATTGAGTGTTTTTCGTTATCAAATGAAAATCAGCCATAAACATGCATGTTAACGAAGATAGAAAGTGTTAGGACTGTCAGGGTAAGATTTATTGAAGCACTAAGCTATGTAGGATTTGAGTTTTTTATTAGTTTTATAAGTTAATATATCATCAGTGGCAGATCTATGGAAGACCGGTGTGTTTGGGTATTAAAAGTCATTGTTTTAACGAAAAAAGTGCTATTTTGACGAAAATATGACGTTATAAGCAAAAAAAGTCAAAATTTTGGCCTCCCGGTCAAGTTGGAAACATAATGAAACATTTTTGGAAAATTCCCTCCTTTCAGTGAAAATTTTAGTAGATTTTGACTTCCCCGCTAAAGTTGTCTAGATCCACTGTATATCACATTTCGGCCTAAAGTATGATTTTTAGATGTCTGTAACATTGCGTTCGGTTTCGACAGAAAAGATGGTAATTCCTAGGACTTTTGAATTATTTTTGAAAAAAGCCAACAGCACTACTAAACTTAGTGTGGATAAAGAAAATTAATATATTACAGAAATTCATCAGATTTTTTTGAAATGTATGACCTGATTCTTAATTTCGAAATTCGTTTATACACGTTGCTAGAAAAAGATGAAACTGCCCTAAGTTCCAAGTAATTCAAGGAAATTACCGTTTTGAGAAAAACGAAATGTTTCATTTTTTCTAAAAGTTAAGCCATGTCTGCAATAGTGATTATGACTGCCACAACTTGTTCAAGAATATTTTTCTAGTTCTATAATTTATAATTCATATGTTTTGTCAGCGGGCAATCAATAGTTGATCCACGTTTGCTTTTTAAACTATGTCAATGATGCAGTTCTATGGTGTATAGAGTTTTGTATCATATTGTTTACTGTGCTAATCACAAAATCTATCAGATGATATAGCGTAGAAGAACTTTAAAAAAGTTTACACACAAAATATTATACATTACTAATTGCTAACTATTCTCTCTTCAATCTTTTTCACCATAAGCCTATTTTTGATAGAACATGCTTTTTAAACAATATCTCTCTGGATTTGCAAAAGCTTGCCCAATTTTTCAAATGAACCAGACTGAGGGACCTTCTTTTACCCAGTGTAATATCTTTTCTTAAATTATATTACTATAATCCAACATCATTCGGTTTTTTGATTCCATAATTCCAAATTATCTTATGCTACTAACCAGTTTATATTTTTGCCCTTCATTGAAGTAGATTAAATTGAATGGATATGTCACGTTCTGTATTAGAAATGAGTTCTACATTCTGCAACAGCAGTTGCATTGCTAGAAACATTTTTCACAAATATAGATTTATTATTTACGCTTGCTCTTGTGTAACGATTTGCTTCTTTTTCCTCTTTTCAGTTCCATTTTTATAATTTATGGTTGACATTTTGCAACTTGTGTATAAAATATTCAGCAGAAAAGTAAAGCGATTCTATTTTTAAAAACAGTGCTAATAATTTTAATAAAGAAAATACGCATAATTATACTGAATTATGCAATGGACTCTGTTGAATAATCTTTTAGAGCTATCACAAGAGTGGGACCCCAAGTTACAGCTTGTTTAACTTAAACGCAATCCCATCAATGACGACTCTAAGTAAGTGAAAACAGGTAAAAGAATTTGAAAGAATATTCCAAAAATAATGACTAGTATAAGCAAAAGCAGAAAGTTATTTATTGAGCGGCATTATAATTACATAGAGCTTTGATTAATATGTCCACGCTTGAGATTTTAATTTGATGACACGTTTTTTAATGAAAAATATTAACAATTGCATGAAAAAAATTACCTTTCACTGTGTACGCTCATACTAGGGCTTTTAAATTGTCGTTTTTTTAGTGAAAATGAAAAATATATTGGATGCATGAAGAACATTCAAAAATATTTTTTATGTTACAATTTTTTATTATGAAAACTAAAACATGCTTAACAGATATTAATTTTATCTAATCGACAGCGAGCTTGTGGAATGGCGATTCGCAACGTGATCAGCAGAAATGAAAATTTAATAGATTGTTTCCTCGAATTGGATGTAGAAATACTGTTGAGAAAAGCTTTAGAAATTCACAAAGAAAAATGTAGAGATGAGATTGTGTATGCATTGAGAGATCTGCGTTGTAGTGTACAACTTAGAGAAATGTGGACTGGTACAGGAAAAAATTTGAATCAATGAATGAAACACTTTTATATTATGTTAATATAAATTATTATTTTTGTTTTTTGTGCCGATACTTAAAAAATTTCAGTTTCATTATTTACATTATTTACGCTTATTTACATTAAAATTAACATTTTTTCAAAGTTATGACAACCGGTTTTGTTTATTGGAATGGTAATGAAACGTTTTTTGAAAAAAAAACTTAAACAAATTATTTCTTCACTCTAAGTGTCGACAAATGTTTCAAACTGTTATGAAATCAATAAAAAACTATGTTGTTTTTACGCTTTTTCTTGAAACGGATTTATTAATTTTTACATTTTTTTTGAGTTATGGAAACCGTCTTGTATTTGCACACGATAACAAAACGTTAACATGAAAAATGTTATTGCAAGTTTTTTGTTTTAAATATAAACATAAATTGACATAAATTAAATATAAAAATAAATTGACAATAAAATGAAGTAATGACGTCGTGTTGATTTTTTAATTTACTGTATTCTCAATCAATCAATCAATAAACTGAAATGTTGAATGTAAATCGTCTGGACCAGGTAACATTAGTGCAAAGATAAAGAATCTATTTATGATTTCTTAAGTTCATTATTTAATAGGTCTTTTGAATGGAAAATCATGCCTAATGTATGGAAAGAGAGTATTGTTACAGCCATTTTTAAAAAAGAAGATAAAAAGGAAGCTAAAAATGATAGACCTGTTGCACTGACATGCATGACATGTAAATTGATGGAGTCTATAATAAAGGATGCTTTGATGTCACATTTAATTGAAAGTGGTTTACTGAATACAAAACAGTTTGGGTTTGTCAAGGAGAAATCAGCTGTCCTGCATTGTTAAAATTGATAGATGAATGGTCTAGGGCTGTGGATAGAGGTTATGGGATTAATGCAGTATATACTGATTTTGAAAAGGCATTTTATAGAGTGTCACATAGTAAATTAATGGTTGAGTTGAATAAATGTAGGTTGAATGACAAATTGGTTGCTTGGGTTTATAATTATTTGGATGGAAGGACATTTCGTGTGACAGTGAATGATGGTATGTCAAGATATTGTGAGGTAAAGAGTGGAGTTCCACAGGGTAGTGTGCTTGGGCCAATTTTGTATCTAATGTATGTTAATGATTTATTTGATTTGCTTCAGGATGTAAATTGGGCTGTGATGTATATGTATGCAGATGGTGCAAAGTTGTTTAAATTATGAACTCAGATAGGGATAGTGTGGTATTTCAGAGGAGTTTGAATGATTTGGATGAGTGGTGTGTGCAGAATGATGTGAAATTTAATAAAGAAAAATGTGTTGTGATGAAGTTTTGTTGTTCTGTATCAGATAATAATTATGATTATAAAATAGTATACCACATTACTGTTTTGAATTATAATAATAAAATAAAAAAAAGATTTATGTGGCTTGTTATCTAGTTCTAATTAAAATTAACCCATTATTATTTGTTGTTGATGAAACAAGAAAATTTCGATGCCAGTACAAACGTCGATTTTTTAAAATACACGAACGGACATACTGACATTGAAATTTTTGAGTTTATTTGAACATTAATTAACGATAGCTAAAAAAATAAAAAGTCAAAATATAATGTAACATTTTTAAAACTTTTAAGCAAATGATATTATAAAATCAAAATGGATTAAATAACAAATGATTCCAAACGTTATTTTATCAATAATTGCATTTCTGCATTTTTATCAATAATTGCATTTATATATATATATATATATATATATATATTTACCTCTGAAATAATATATATATATATATATATATATATATATATATATATATATATATATATATACACAACGATCCTTGATTATGAACCCGATCCAGTTCGCCTTAAAATTAAAGAAGCCCTTCATATCAACAAGCATAAACCCTCACTCAATAAACAATATAACAGCTTTGATCACACTTTGCAATTGTTTTCTCAATATCACGATCTCACACCTACTGTTGCCGTTGGGGTTGATCCACAGGATCTGCGTGTACCACAACGATATGAATATCATCCTACGTTGAATACATTTCAACCCATCAACACGCAGTTTGTGACCCAGCGTCATCCGACAACCGTCATCGCGTCGTTGGATGTATTATGTGATACCTAATACTTGATCTATACATCGATATGTATCTTGCATGTACATATATGTATTTATATTTAACTATGTATCCGTAGGTCTGATGTGGAAACTCGTATCACACATATTCAACCGCAATAGTTGTATTCACAACGCATACACAGCAATATTATATATCT